GCAATACCAGCCCCCAACTCACAACCTTCCCCTTCACCAGAAATTGCTAGGTCCATTTTGTATCCATTAAAATCTTGGTTAAATTAAAGTCTTGGTCCACATTATTTCCTTCACTGGGGAGGTTATAAAAATATGAATCAATAAAATCTCTCTTCTGTGTAGCCCTGAGTCCTCATTGTGCTAGGAAAGATCTTAGGAGTAATAAGACATATTTCTTTACCTCCCTGGATACTGGGTACTTCACCACCTATTCTCCCTCAGCTGCCTTTGAGTAATGAAACAAGTACATATTAATAATGATTAAACCTAGCTTTATCTTGATCATGGCCTAAAAGACTAGGTGAACAGGAATTTGTTTGGGTTTTTTTTGTAAATACTTTATTTTTTCTAATTATGTGTAAAAAGAATTTTGAACACTCATTTTTTATAAGATTTTTCAGTTCCAAATTTTTCTCCCTCCCTCCCATTCACCCTCTCCTAGACAGCAAACAATCTGATGCATGCCAGACTTGTGCAATCATGTTAAACATATTTGGTGAACAAGAATTTAGATAAACTTTGGAACAAATATTTGCTTGCTTGAAGAGAGATACACCCTCTCCTATCCACCATTCTGGGTAAGTTCACAAAATCAGGATCTGCCCAAACATGCTTCCTCTTGGCCAGAGATTGGCCCTAGCAAACTTACTGATGTATTTCTGCTCTCCTTTTCACGGTTAATGCACTTTTTACAGTTTCTGATATCTCAGTTTCTCACACCTTGTGATGTGTACTATCCAATAATCACATGGTTCTTTGCCATATGGACATGGCAGCTGTCCTGGAAAGGAATGTAATTTGGCACAAGGAAAGCCTTGCTATGGTTTGTGTATGGCTTGCTCAGTTTCTCCCACTGTCAGCTTCTGATAAATGAATTGGATAGCTTTTATCCAAATCTTTGATAAGAATGTTACGCAGCATAGAACCAAGTATTCTGTGCATCAAGGAAGACTTGAACAAATGCACCTCTGAATCCTATAAACTAGGAATGCTCATTTTCCTTAACATCACTGTTTGGAGTATTTGATCACTTACCTACCTGAAGCTTTAACAAATCTGCTTTCCAGTTCACATCTTGGGTATCAATAAGTACATAAAATTTAAAAAAGCTTGATGCCACCTAAAAAAAAAAACAAATATGTTTTCCTCACTTTCCTACACCTTCTGGTTCTGATCCTCCTATGTGATCATAGTCAAACAAAGGGCTCTCCACATTTCCTTAAATGTACTGACTCCCCCTCCCTGGGACTCCCTATCATATAACTGATTTCTCAAGCCCCTGAATTCCTACATTTAGTTCCCTCCCTGTACCGGGATGCAGAACCATTCACTCACCAGGACACTCAGTACCCTTCCTTTTTTTTTTTTTCAATTGACCCTTTATCATTACCCAAGAATGCTGTTTTGCTTGTTAAATAGAGGTGGTTTGGTATGGTCGGAACAACAAAGTCTGCGTCTTTACTCTGCTACCTACCACTAGGAATGCGACCCTCGAATTAACGTTGGCGATGAGATTTGGCTACCTCCCTCGCTGGGTTGCTGTAGACATCCTGTGAAATAATGTGGGTAGAGCGATTTGCAGAACTTAAGCACTCACTAGGGCTCACATTCTTTCTTATTGTTGTTGCGTGGCTGCGTAAGCTTAGATGAGTAACGGGACTGTCACAAACTGATGTTGCTGTGCACATGTAAGTTGGGGAAAAGCAGGCCCGCCCTCTCGCCAGGTTCTCCTGCTCATTGGATGAGCCTTCGCGGGCCCACCCAATGGGGCGATCGACCCCGCCTCCTGCCTTCATTTCCCCGCCCCAGTTTCTGAGGCTCGGGGAGGAGGGGTTGGAGAATCGGAACAAAGAAACCACCGAGATGAGGTGACCTCCTGGCGTCCTAGAGATGGGGGCTCGTGCCAAGCACCGGAAGGCGCCGGATGACGTCCCTACTTCCAGGTCCGCCATTGTTGTCCTGACTGTCTGGGTTCTGCCCTTCGGAGGGGGCGCCGGGCCTTTCCGGCTGCGGCCTCCCCGGGACTTCTTTCCGGACTCTGTCTTGGTAAGTAGCGGGGAGGTTGAGGGGGCCAGTCGTGGAGCGGGGACGGGGGGGGGGTCGTCGGCCTTCGGCTGGGGTCCCGACGGGTCCCCCGGCCTCGACCACCAAGCCCCTGCGGAGGCCCCCTCATCTCCTCGGCTCAGACGTAGTCGGCCCCAGGCTCCTGGAGAGACGCGCCAGCCCCGCCTCGCTCCCTACTGCGGGTCTCCCTAGGCCGCACGCGGTAGAAGGCATTGGCTGGTGCCCGAGGAGTTCGGGATAAATGAGGTTGGGGAAGTGGGGGGAAAGACGTAGAGCTTCTCTGAGGCTCGGATAGATGTGACCCCCACCCCCCAGCGCCGCCAGTTCCGCCCAACAGCAAGTTCAGGGCCGTGTGCTTCACTCGTCTCTCCTGCAGGCCCCCGAAAGGTGGCGTCATGCCCTTGGTTCTGCAGGTTTGAACTAAGAGAGCCTTCGCACCTGCAGACTCTGAGCCACTACCTAGATCCATGGCCCAAGGGGGCACATGTGCGCAGCGGCCTACTGTGTGCATTTTGCAGTTGAGAAAACGGAGACTGCCCAAACCTTAAAGATTTAAAGACCTTCAGAAAGTTTTACTGTGAAGGCCACAGACTCTGCCCCACGTTTCCGAGGCTGGAGAAAACTCAGGAACAGATTTCTGGGATTCCCCTTCCATAAAGATTGACACTTTCGGAGGGAATCTCAGATTCTACTTGGCATTTCTTGATATTTCTGGCAGAGTCTGCCACTTAGGCAGAAAAGTAGGCAGGAGTAGGAGATGCATCCCATGGAATGTGGGATGTTCAACTTATGCCACTAAGTGAGCGAGGGTTTGCCTAAGGAGGGTAGTGAGAAATTGAGGAAGGGAGGGAGGTGGGAGAGGGCATAGGACCATCACTTGTTCATCTCCATCTCCATCAGTTGGGAATTGTTGTTCATCCTTCATGTTCTAGAAGAGGACCAGTGACGTCAGGCAGGTGATGTCTTGACTTGCAAGTGATTTGCATTTAAGTGAGGTTGGACTGTTCGAAGTTATCAGACTCACTCTCCAAAGTAATTTACATTACATGGCTCAGGATGACTGTCATGTTCCGGGTTAAGATGGGAAGAGGAAGGGAAGGAAACGAACATTTATTAAGAGCCTACTATATGCTAGGCACTTTACAAATATTATCTCTTTTGGTACTCAGAATAGGCCTTTTAGGTAGGTGCTGTTATGATCTTCATTTTACAGTTGAGGAAACTGAGGTGAAATGACTTGGTCAGAGTCACACAGCCACTGAATTTCTGAAGCTAGATATAAACTTAGGTCTTTCTGACCCCAGGCACAATGCTTTGTCCACCTAGCTGTCTCACCTTCCTATGCTTATTTGCCATCTTAAATTTACTTTCCAAGGTTTTAGTGTTCAAATTTTTCTGTAACTGAAAATATTTGCCATTTAGAAAAATAACTAATTTCTTGCAAATTGGTTGGTGTCTTTATGTGCTAATTTTGTGTAAAGGCAGCTTGGCATAGTCAGTAGAGAACCAGTCTGAATCTGGAAGACTGAGGAAGGAGTTGCTGAGTGGGTGCTGATCTATGTTAATAGGAGTTTGGTCAAAAGAAGTTCTCTAAACCAATGAAATGACAGGCCCATTAAAAAAGATTTTGCATGTAATTAATTTTCTTTGTGTGCTTACATTTTTTTTTCTTTCAAAGAGCTCTAATTTTACAGTGTTAACAGTAGTTGGTCAAGCAGCATAGCAATCACATTTCTGTTTAGCTAGCAGTTTTTCTCCCCTTCCACATGCTCTGTCCACTGAATACTCCTATCCGTCCTATCAGTCTTCTCTAGAATCTTTTCCTTTTGATCTTTGGAATTCATTGCTTTCTATGTACTGGTGGCTGTTTTAACTATTCTTTCACTGTTCTGCTGTGGGTAACCTTGTCAGTTTGTGTCTTACCTTTTGTCTCAGTCCTCCGGTCCCTCTGGCCAAGCTTTTGGCAGGAGGCTGTTGATAATTGTTTCCCTTCAGCTTAATTGTTGCTGTTGAATTGAGTTATTTTGAATCCAAGCCCACTGGGATTCAAATGGAGCTGCTTTACTATGTCTTTAAATCCAAATCTCTCTGGCTCTCACTGATTGGCCAATTATAATAAATTCTAGCCTAGATCCTAGCACAAACGTCTCTTGCTCGTTGTTTGAGTTTTGATGGCTCAGAGTGAGTGTAAATAGTGATTTTCTTCAAAACTTTGAGGGTTCCCCTCCCAGATTGATTTTTTTGTGTGTGTAGGCAAACTAGGCCATCTTTTGCTTCCACTGTTACTTAGCCTTTAATTACTGAACAGTTGTCGTCTCTGACGAGCAGACCTGGGAAAGACCTCACTTAAAAAGGCCAGGGCATCAGGAGCCTCTGCCAGTTGTCCTGACCTGTGTCTAGCCACTGGACTCCAATGACTCAGACGAAGTGAGCGCAGTGATGACTTTGCACAGCCCTGCCTCATTCAAATCAAATTCACTTGCAAGTCAAGACGACACCCTTCTGATGTCATTGGTCCTATTCAAGAACGAAGGACCAACAACAGTATGTTGAATCCATTCGTGTGTGTGTGTGTGTGTGTGTGTGTGTGTGTGTGTGTGTGTGTGTGTGTGTGAGAGAGAGAGAGAGAGAGAGAGAGAGAGAGAGATTGAGATTTGAGTGGGGAATACAGATGGACCCACAAATGTAACATGTCATCCCTTGCTTTCTTTCCTTTTTCAGCTCCTGAGGTTCTTGCCCCTACAAAATAGGGGAGCACAGGAGTCATGGCATCTGTGCTCCTGACAACCACGCCCCAGGTGAGCTGTGATTCATTCTGCCCTTTCCTAGCCAACCAAGATGGAGATGAGCTAATGCAGAAGCCAGGGGACAAATCTGTTGAATCCTGTGCCTGAAACCGGAGGTGCCCAGTGACCACGCATGCATCTACCAGCAGTGTTATCATTAGGGACTCTAGCTTAAAGTAGAATTGAATCCAAAGAAGAGGTGGGTATGTCATTGGATTACAGAACCAATTAGAGAGGTGAATGGTGCCACTGCTTTGTTCCTCTCAGAAAGCAGAAATAGAGGCAGTGCCCCTCTATCTTATCAGTGACTTGGCTGGAGGTATAGATGGTACAGTTACTAAATTTATAGTTGATCCAAACCTGAAAGGCATAGCTAATATGGTGGGACAAGATTTACAAAGCCCTGATAAGCAAAAAAGAGTACTGGTTTTGGAGTCAGAGGATCTGTTTTTCTATTTACTGATTGTGTCTTGGGGCCAGTTTCTTCTCTTCTCTGGGCCTCATTTCCTTTTTATATGCTTGGGGGAGAGGGGTTGGATTTGATGAGCTCTGATGTCTCTTCTGCTTATAAATCTTATGAACAATGGGCCAGAAGCAACAAACTGAAATATAATAGGGATAAATGTCAAGTTCTGCATTTAATTTTTTTTCAATTAATTGTGTAAATATGAGATAGGAGACATAATTGGCAGCTGTATATGGAAAAAAGAAAAGCTAAATCTGAGTCAACAGTATGTTGCAGCTGTTTCCCTACCTTATTCTCTGTGTTCCTCATGCAACTTAAGACCTCATTAATAGAATTATAATACCTAAGGTCATGGGAGGTAGTAGTTTTTCTGTATGCTGTCCTGGACAGACTACATCTTGAATATTATATTTATTTGTTTACCAACATTCTAAGTAGGACATTTACAAGCTTGAGATAATGGTTAGCCCTGAGAAAGAAGGTTAAAAACTAGCAAATTGTTACCTTTTGAAGGTTGATTTGATTTTTACAAAGAGCCAAAACACCTTTTTTTTTTGAAATTTAGAATGTTAGACCTGGAAGAGCCTACAGAGACTATTTAATAATAATGGTGAAAGAGGCCCAGAAAATGGAAGATTTGCCCAAAGTCACCCAGTTAGTTAATAGCAGAGCCAAGTCCCATGACTACCAGACCAGCAAGCTTGCCCCTACATCGGACTGCTGCTTTCTTAGAGTAAAGCCTGGTTGATAAAATGGGTGATCGAGGTGGGTGATCCAGTTTTTGTTTGGGTTGGCTTTTCTTGTGTATACGTGTACGTTTAAATAAATAAAGAAAATGTGGCTATAAAGTGATGAGACTGATTTTCTTAAATGGCTTCCAAATAGGCTGTAAGGATAGTTCCAAAATAGAATCATAAGAGGTTTGATCAGTGGTAACATCTTTAGAATAACTGTAGAACTTAATAGACTTCTATCCTGAAGAGTATAGTTTTCATTTGGATATGTAAATGTTGATATATCTTTTAAGAGAGGAGGCTTGGTACTTTTAAATTTATTCTGGACCATGTGTCTTGTCTACTGATCATGCTAATAAGTTGTAATAGATCATTGAATATGGAGCCCTCAGGCCTGGGTTTGATTTTCTACTCTGCCGTTTTCCTAGGGGTGACCTTGAATGAATCCTTTAACCTCTCAGTTTCTTCATAAAATAAGGATAATAAAACTTTTACGTCCAACCCTACAGATTTCTTATTGGGGAAGTTCTTCATAAACTGTCGAGTGCTGGATAACTGAGTTATGGCTGTTACTACTATTACTTGGTTTTAATCTCAGGTTTCTAATATGAATTGAAGAAATTCTTATCAAATGAATATATGAATGAACTGGGTATAAGGAAATCCAGATAGATCTGAGGGATAAATGGGAACCTTCTTTTGACCTTCTGTGTCAGGTCTACAATTCACACATCATTGTGGTACAGGGGAAAGAATAATGGATTTGGAGTCAGAGGATGTGAGTTTAAATCCCTGCTCTGCCCCTTACCTGTGGGACCCTGGAGAGGTCCCAATCTCTCTGAATGTTTTGGTTAAATTAGAGCAATGGCTTACATGGGCTTGTGAGCTTGTTTGGTAGGGCTGTTACGTTCACTACAACCTGCCAGGGCAGGTCGTACATAGTTGTGGGAAGCAAGATCTTAGGAAAGAAGAAAACAGAACCTGTTTCTTCTCTGTGTGCCTACAGGGAGGCTATGAATAGAGATGTAATGAAATGCTACATTATGGTGAATATTAGTGTTTTTGAAGGAACTCCCTTCAGGTGGCTTCAATCTTTCCCTTGTAAAGTAAGACCAGGTCATCTGCTAAAGCTGAAAGGAAGAGAAAGCTGTTTTCAATCACTTATTCAACTATTGATATTAACACAAAGAATGCTTCGTGTTAGGCACTCTGCTGAATGCTAGAAATAAAAAGGTTGAAAGCTAGTTGTTTGAGATAAGAGAAGATACATTTTTTCTGCTTTAAGGCTTACAAAGTGTTTTCCTTACAATCACCCACTGAAGTAAGTAGTGTGTAAATCACTTTCCAATTTTACAGATAGGGAGACTGAGGGAAAAAACCAAGGAAAGAGAAAATTTCCCAGTTTCCATTA